CATTGCACTCCAGCCTGGGTAACAAGAGTGAAACTCTGTCTCAAAAAAAAAAAAAAAAAAAAGAAAGAGAAGGGAGGGAGGGGAATATGTCCGTTCAATTCCACCAGCATCAGTGAGCAGGTGGTAGCCCTGATAAGAGCGTTTGCAGAGGGTCAAGGAGGGGCACACAGAAGATAAAGAAGGGATGCTGAAAAGCTTTCTGGGAGCAGGTGGTTCAAGCAGGTGTGCAAATCGGAATGAAAGTACTAAACACACAACTGTCCTGCCTGGCCCATCAGGCCTTCCTGGAATTCATTGCCGTGTTTACCTGCAATCCAGGCGGATTTGAGTTGCAAAACATCCTTCGGATTAGGGGCTCTCCTGTCCCAGCCCCTGCCATCCCCCCTTGCACCAGCTGCAGCTGACTCAGCCAAACCTTTCCTCCTGGCAGCCAGAGACGCTTGCCTTTAAAGGCAAGAGAGTCTTTTCTCAGCCTGCCTTACTCACTCCTAACTGTGGAGCTGCTAGGACCCGCCCTGCACCGCCCTGCCGCCACCACCACCCCTCCCCCGCCCACTTGCGTGCTCTGAGGCACGCACTAGGCTCCAGCATCCGCCTGTCACCTGGCACCTTCCTGCCAGCCAGTCCCAGAGAGCTCTTTTCCTCCAGACTGGCTGGGGCTGGAACTGCTTAGAATCAGACCTAGAAGAGGCCGAGTTCCGTCCAGGACTAAAGGCAGCCTCCAGGGAACAAAGCTGCCAGTGTGGGCACAGACTAGGGAAGGGGCACTAGCTTGCTGAAGCTGAATGCTGGGGCTCCACAGCCTCCTCACACCTCCTTTAGTGCCTTAGGTAAGGTCGGCTTGTGGGAACACTGAGGTTTCCTCAGGTCCTTCCCCCTGCTCAATAACTCTCCATGGCTCCCCACTGCCCACTGCATAAAGCCCTCCTGCCTATACAGACATTTGACTGTGATTCCACCTCTTCAGTCTCTTCTCCTCCCTAAGCCCCCATACTCCAGCCTCAGGGGCTACATAACTGCCCCTCCTGCTCCCCTTTTTCCCTGCACCCAAACCGTCTGTGCTCAGATGCTATTTTCTGGGACCTTCTCTAAACTCCTTCCCTAGCTGGAGTTAAATTCTGCTTCCAAGGACTCAGACACCCAAATAACAAACAAGTCCACCAGAGAATCTAATCTCTGATGCAGTGTCAATAGCTTCTGATGAATTTGCCTCTGACCAGTAGCCTCCGGAAGTCCTAAAACATTCAGAAAGGAACACAGAGAAGTAGAATTTCAAGCAGTTAATGGGGGTCTGTGTGTGGGCAGGTGGGGCTGGGTGGGTGAAGGGAAGGCTTTTTTTCTGGCCACTCTGCTTTGTCCTCAAGCACCACCCTACCATGGGATGGGGATTTGACTGAAGTTCTCACGTCAATAACTAGTACAGTTTATGTGGCTAAGCCTTTACAAACATCCACTTTCTCTCAGGCCTACCCAGGAAGGGTTCGTTACATCTATTTTACAGATGTGGGTCTTCAGGCTCAGAGAAGAGAAGGCATTGTTTGCCCATGAATGTTTGCAAGTAAACAGCAGAGCTGAGGCTCCAGAGTCCCGATCTCCGCTCCACCATCAATCTCTAAGAGTGGCTCAGAGATTCTTAAGTCCCCTAGGTAATCATTCTGGCAGTCTGCTGCCTTTGCACATGCTCTTCCCTCTGCTGAGAATGGCCTTCCCTCTGATCCATCTGAACTCCTAGTCAGCCTTCCAAACTTTGCTTAGCATGACCTCCTCCTTCCCAGATGCTCTCTCTACTCCCTCTCCTTCTCCTGAGGTACAAGCTCTGCTGCTCCTGTACAGACTCTTAACCCCCTACACTTGACTTGGTATTGTTGCTGCTTATCTCCCCTCTTCCTCCTTCTCCAGTATGGGGCCTCCATGAGGCTAACCATGGGGCTGCATGTTTCTGTCCCTGGGAAAGTGGCCAGCATGGGGCTGGCCTAGAGAAGGCCAAGGTGGCTGTTTGGTGAGTGTGACCCATGGGCTGAGTGAGGCAGGCCCACCACTGGGAAAAGGCATAGACAGTAGACTAGACGTGCTAAGAAACAGGGAGCTGTGGAGAGACTTTGAGCAGGGAAGTAGCAAAACCCAAACGGTACTTATGGAAAGACTCGAAGTAGCAGCAGGACAGACTGGAGTGGAAGGAAATCAGAGACAGGTCGACTAGCTGCTCACTCATTTGTGCATTCCACCCCTCCAGTCATTCGCCATGTGCCTCGGCTGCAGAAGCTGTCCTTGAGGTGCTCACAGGCTGAGGGAAGACAAAGGACAAGTGGCAACCTACGAAACACCAAATGGTAAAGGAGAGAAAGATTTCCGCTTGGGAGAATCAGGGACACTTCCCGGAGGAGGAAGGACCCATGGTGCTTTCTGGCACGCTGAGGTTGGGGAGGGCTTCCCTGGCAGAGGAGACAAGCTGAGCAAAGGTGTGGATGTGAGTTGCTGCTGTGAGGGGCGAGGCTGAGCATGTAAATTGGTGCTCCGAAGAAGGACCTTGATGGCCAGGCTTGGCCCTTACTCCCTCCATGACAATGCCAGACAGATAAGCAGGAGAGTGGTAGGGTGCAGGACTGGAGGACGAAAGACCAGAGATGGAGGCCCTGCAGACAGCTGGGGAGGGAAGGAAGACGAGGTGGTGTAGACAGCAGAGTCAACAGGACTTGATGGGCTGCCCAGGGGTGAAGAGAGAGGAGAGAGGTGGCCCCAAGCTTTCCAGCCTGAGAACCAAGGGACCACAGGAACCGTAGCCTTGGACAGGGGTGTATTTAGAATGCACCTGTCTTCTGTTTCAGGGCTCCATACCCAATCAAGCTACCCCTCAGCCAGAACTGGACACATGGCTAGAGAACTCCAGGGGTCATGTGGTCGGTTCTCCTGGTTTCCAAGACAGTAAGACCACCATGACTCCCTCCACGGGGAAAGGGATCCTCAAGACTTTGGTCAGACCTTGGGACTGGGGGTCTTTTCCTTCACTGTGTGTCACGTAAGGCCGTGGTCTAGAGGAAATAAGGCGAAGTCAGATAATAACAAGACCACTCCCAGTGCACCGGCACATGCCTGCACTCCCAGCTACTACGGAGGCTAAGGTGGGAGGACCGCTTGAGCCCAGGAAATCGAGACCAGCATTCATTTATCTACTAACAAACCAAATAAATAATCCAACAATATCACCAACCAGTAAATGAGAACTTCCATGCTAAACACTTCATGAGCTTATCTGGAAATTGCACCTCTCATGATAGCAATGAGATTGCTGTGAAGAACTTCATTTTACTCATAAGAAAACTGAGCCTCGTTGGCCAGGAACTCGCCCAGGATCGCGGGCCGGGCTAGTACACAGTTGAGCTGGTTCAAACCCGAGGTCTCTCCTGTCCTTAACGTCAGTTAAACTTCCTTTCATATTTTCCACACTTACAGGACACCACAGATTCACCTGAACTGTGAGAAGTAGAGGAAGGCGTCCCAGAGCAGGAGGTTTTAAAGCCCTGGTTTGAGATGGGTATGTATTTCCAGGCAGAGAGCCTGGCCGGTGCAAAAGCAAGGCTTGGCTCACAAACGGGAATGTGGGGGGTGGAGACAGGGAAGGGAGAAGTCAATCACTGAGCAAGACCTCCTGAAGTCTCTCTAACCAATAAATACTACTTTTCACGCAGTAGACGCTGTTCTAAACACTACAAATATTATCCCATTTAGTCCTCCTACAGCCCCATGAGGCGGTACTGCTAGTATCCCTAGTGCACCGAAGTCACCCAGCGGCCGAGTGAGAACTCCAGTCCAGCTCTCCACGCGCTGCTCCGCGCCTCCCGGCTTGCCTTACAGCCGGGTACCGGCTCCACCATTTTGCTAGAGAAGAAGGCCGCGGAGGCTCAGAGAGGCGTGCACACTTGCCCTGAGTCACACAGCAAACGCCCACCGCGGTGCCAACGCTCTGAGAGCGGGTCGATCTGCAGCCAGAGCAGGGGGTGGTTAGGGGCCCTCCCGCGCCCGCGCCCGCGCCCGCCCCCGGCCCCTCCCCTCGCCCCCTCCCCGCGCACCGCCCAGGACAGGCTGGGCCCTAGGCCCCGCCCCGAGGTCCTACCCACAACCCACCCCCCCGACACACCGGCGTCGGCAGCCAATGGCCGGTGTCCTATAAACGCCACGATCCGCGCGCTCTCCCGCAAGAGGCAAGAGGTAGCACCAGTAAGCGTGGCGGTCACTGGTTGCAGGTCCCGAGTGAGCGTTCCAGAGAGCGGGAGACCAAGCGACCGGACTCGGAGTCAGAGTCGCAGTGGGAGTCCCGGGACCGGAGCACGAGTCTGAGCCGGAGAGCGCCGCCTGCCCGCCCGTCGCCACCCGCGCACCCGGCACTGCCAGAGCCACCAGCGCAGCGCTGCCATGGAGCCCAGCAGCAAGGTGAGTCGCGCGCCCGCCGGCCCTCTGGCAGGAACAAAGGCGCGGACTCCTGCCCGCCCCTCCGCCGGCCAGAGCCTACCCCGCCGCCCCGCCGCGCTGTGCGCCCGGGGCGGGCCGCGCGCCTCTCGGAGCCTGGCTCCGCGCGGGTCCGGAGCGCAGCGCCCCACCGGGCCGCTGGCCGCGGTGGGGATGGGCTCGGATCTAGCGGGCCGGAGGGCGCCGCGTGCGTAGTTGGCGCCGGTATTGAGCACAAGGCTTCCTTCCGGGGGCCCCGCGCCGTCCACGCGGCCCGGCGGCGGCCGGGGACACAGGGCCCGGGCGCGGCACGTCGCACACGACCTCGGCGGCGGCGGCCCGTTGCCGGCTCCTCCCGGTGCGGGGGAGGGGGCCCGAGCGCGGCGCCCATTGGCTGAGCGGGCCGAGCCCCCGGCCCGGCCCAGGCCCCAGCGCGCGGAGGAGGCGGGACCCGCCCCGGCTCTCCGCAGGCTCCCCTGGCCCGGGCGCCCCAGTAGGTGCGCGGCCTGGTGAGAGATGCCCCACCAGCCTCCCTGACTCCTCCCGCCAGTCCCCCGCGGTGCCGAGGCCGAGGGGAGGGCACTTTCCCCAGGCCCGGGCTCGAACGCGGGGGTTGAGATGAACCTCCGGTCTCTGAGGCCCTCCTTTTGGAGGAGTGCAGGCCCCAAAGCTTTGGCCCAGTCCCGCGGAGATGTGCTCGGGAGAGGCGCGTTTACCCTGAGGGCCGGGCGGGGAGCCGGGGGTCAGGAAAGAGCCCCAGGCTGGAGTCGAGCTGGAATCGTGAAGGCCACGGGGCTGGGGAACGCGGGAGGGATGGGGACTCTGGGGACAGACAACTGCCTAGATAGGATTTCTTTTCTCCTGTGTATATGGGCTTCTGAAGGGCATCTCTGTGATTCCCGCAGAGCGATTCCTTTTCCACAAATGTTTGTTAAGCCCCTCCTGTGTATTGGGCATTGTTTCTTTCTGCCCGCCCACCCTTCCTCCCCCTAGTCTAGAATATTTTCAAGTCCCCTTTTCTTTTGAAACGCTCCCTCTTATCTGTTATACTTGGATTTTTCCATCTCCTCAGCTGGGAGGGCACCTGGATGGCCCTTTTTCTCTTAGCTGGGACTCGGGGGTAGCTCTGAATTCTGAACTGCTCTTCCTACCGGCGGTGGAGATGTCCGGTGGGACTGAGCGGGGTGACCTGGGCTGTACCCTCGGCGGGAAAAGGCCTTCCGCCTCACATCTGTTGAATCCATGAATCCAGACGACTTGCTTCAACCTTCCTGGGCCCTCGCCTGAGGTGAGACCCCGAGGAAGGCTCCCTACAATCATAGGTGAGCTGTAAGAGTGGATATAACTAAACAAAAGTGAAATGAGAAGCTGTTTTAGCTCTAGTGGCAAGGGCTGGGACTCTGGCTGTCTAAATATCTCAGGGCTCTTGAAGGCCGCTTAACTTCTGGGCCTCAGTTTTTCCACCTGAAAGATAGAGATCACTTTTTCACTTCCTGTAGGTAAGGAACTATCTATTCACCATGCAATGCCAGACATGAATATTTATCTGTTGAGTGGATAAGCGAATACTCCACATGGAGACCGAGCAGTGGAGGACAGAATCAACAGGTTCTTAGCCAAACTGCTTTTCAGTATCATCGACCTCATAGCCCTGCTGGTTCCTCACCAGCCACAAGCTCAGAGAAGGGAAATAAGTTTGCTGAAGTCACACAGCTGGTAAAGTGGCTGAGCTGGGTTTAAACCCAGGCCAATCAGATTTAATTTCATTTCTGTCTCCACTGTCTCTCTTCACCACAACATTTCTTGAATTTTAGGCAGAAGGGAGAGAGTTTGCTGGTCTTCAAAGGTGGCCCCTTGTGCCAGCTGGTTCTAAATAGTGTGGCAGGTGGGTGCTCTTCATGCAGTGCTCTCCACGTTTTCCACTGTCTACCTCATCAGTAATTAATGTATCTGCATTTATACATTCATGCACGTGCGATTTGATACTAACAGATTATATGCCTTCATAAAATAGAAATTTTTTTGTTTTTGAGACGGAGTCTCACTGTGTTGCTTGGGCTGAAGTGCAGTGACGTGATCTTGGCTCACCGCAACCTCCACCTCCCGGGTTCAAGTGATTCTCCTGCCTCAGCCTCCTGAGTAGCTGAGACTACAGGCGTGCACCAACATGCCTGGCTAATTTTTGTATTTTCAGTAGAGACGGGGTTTCACTATGTTGGCCAGGCTGGTTTTGCACTACTGACCTCATGATCTGCTCTCCTTGGCCTCCCAATGTGCTGGGATTACACACGTGAACCACCTTGCCCAACCAAAATGGAAATTTCAAAAGACAAATACATACAAGATAGGAGCTATAGTCATTTTCCCCTCCAAATCTTGTGTAGATCATTCCATATACATTCTGGAATAAAGCCCTTCCCTTTGGAGACTCCTGATTTGACCGGCAAGCACAGCCTTTTTGTGCACGATGTTAAACTGAGGCCTGGAGAGGTTGTATTGCTTGGCTTTCACACAAGGTCTAAAAGTCAGGTGTGTCTGGCTCCGAAGCCTTGGTTCTGCTATGTTCCTCTTTGTCTCCTAGGAAATGGGAACTGACTCAACTAACTTCCCTGTGTTCCATTGTGCTCCTCTGTAACTCATAATGAGCTTAGCTGACTAGAAAGTAGGGGACAGATGGAATCGTCTTGCCTCCAAGCCAGGGGTTCTCCCACGATCCCTCCTGGTCAGCACACAAAAGAGAGCCCTGTCCCAGATGTCTCTCCCCACCCTTTGTGAAGAGCTTGTAACTAGCCTTGCCTATGCCCATCACTCATCACTTTACTGTCCAGTCTCTGCCTTCCAGAAAAGGAAAAATCAGAAATCTCTAGGTTTCCTCAGCCTCTCCATGGTGCAGAGAGCATAGTTTTTTGTTTGTTTTTTTTCGAGACAAAGTCTCACTCTGTCACCCAGGTAGGAGTGCAATGGCACGATCTTGGCTTACTGCAACCTCTACCTTCCAGGTGTCACCACGCCGGCTAAATTTTTGTATTTTTGATAGAGACGGGGTTTCACTATGTTGCCCAGGTTGGTCTCGAACTCTTGAACTCAGGTGATCTGCCCCCCTCAGCCTCCCAGCGTACTGGGATTACAGGTGTGAGCTACTACACACAGCCCAGCAGAGGTGTTTGAAGTCTTGGATATGTGGTTTTGAATCCCGCCTTGGCTCAGTTGCCCAGTTTTCATCATTATAGTGTCTAGGAATTCAGAAAAGAATGTATGTTTGTCCCCTTAGATGCTCCATAAATGTTCCTTGCTTCTTTGGACTCCCACGATGCATTGCACTTACCTGGGCCCTGGGTGACCTGTACCTACCTGGGCCTTGGCCTCTATCCAGAAGCTAGCATTCTGGAAGTGTGAGCTTTTGGGGAGTCAGGATGTTGGCCCATGGGTATTAAGTCAGGTAAATCATTAAAGCTCCCATTAACCCATTCTTCCTAGGAGGGGTTTCTCAGGAAGCTAATCGGGATGACACATGGGTGGGAGTGCCAGACCAGGGAGGGTCAGCTCATGTGACTGCCCTGCCCTGCTTTGGGCTTCTTTGCTTTGCTTTTTTTAGGCTCCCCACCTACCTTTCTGAATTTGGGTCAGCCTTGGGATAGTTTGAAAGGAATGTTCATGTCCATTAACTGCTAGAATCCTCACAACTGCCCTGTGTTACAAGTCACAATGACCTCATGGTCCACCAAAAAATGACTTTGCCAAGATCACACACTGAATCTCCCACCCCAAGACATGCTGCCAGCCTTTCCAGGATGACATTAGAGGGGTGAGGGAACCCAGAGCCATGGCCCAGCCCGCCGTTTGACAAATGGGGAAACTGAGGCCAGAGAAGGGAAGAGATTTGACCAAGATAAGGCTATCGCAAAATATTTGAGTCCTCCTACGGAGCTGTGTTTTTTTTAAAGATGCTTTCTTCTCCACACACCTGTCTGTGCCATCCTCCACCCACCCCAAAGGAGCAGGCATCCCCAGACACAGGACCTGCCATGTTTTTTCTGCATACCATAGGAGCCCGAAAGTTGAATTAGACATAACTTGACAACTGAAACTCTACTGTGAATGGAAACAAAACACTAGATGTTCTCACTAAACTCTGACCTTGAAGAAGTGGCTTTCCCTGGAGCCTTGGTTTCCTTCTCAGTAAATGGAGACTTGGCTACCCCTGGTGGATGTGGTGAGACTGGCCCTCTGCCCTCAATCAGGGCGGCGGCTATTTTAAGTGGAAAGACCCTTTGTATGGCCAGTCTGGGTGTGCAAATGATGTAAATAGCCCCAAGATGATCCTTGTCTAGAGCCATCCAAGGATTCGACCCTATTTGCCCTGGAGCTGGACCAGCCTCAAATCCCTCATAATCAGCTTGTGACTTCAAGGAGCTCAGCTTTGCCCAGTGCCTCCTGGTCACGGGGTGTCGGCCTGGAGCTCTGCTCCAGTACCGAGGGTACAGGCATCCAGCTGCCCGCTTCCTCAAGACTGGCAGAGCCGGGGAGGCCTGGAACAAAGAGGAAAGTGTGCAGTGTTGGCTTGGGACCTGCAACCTCACCCCTTCCCCCACCTCACTCCTGGGCATAGAGATGACAAAGCCACTCACTCAATCTGGTAACCGATGTCCCCATGATGGCAGAGGCTGGGAAGCCTCCTGACCGGACTCATGGGCTGAGAGAAGCTGTGTCCAGGCCTGCAGGCCCAGCCCTGGCCACCCAAACAAGCCTCCAATTGTTACCTCCCTCCACGGAAGGGGTGGAGTGGAGCCTGAGGCTCTGTCTTCCAGCCACCAGGCCTGGCAATAGCTGATGCATAAACATTAGGGTTTTGCAGTAGGCAAGCAGGGCTCCTAAGCCTTGAACCTGGGCAGAAAGAAGGCAGCATCTTTTCTCTTCGTGACCACACTGATTTGCCTCCCCAGGGCCTCTGCACCATGGAATGGGAGAGGGCTCTTGCCTGACTC